TGCCCCATAAAGGTGCTGCCCTGGGATGTCTTTGTATTGTCTTTGCTATTGTGTTTTATATTTTGAGACATCATCTCACTATGTAGCCCAGAGTGATCTTGAACTAATGACCAACATGACTTAGCCCCCCTCCAAATACCAGGATGCCAGGCATGTGCCACTAGAGCTAAGTTCCATCCTGTCTTGTTCATTGATACACTAGTATAGTGTAATGACTGAGAGAAACTTCCTGAAGAGCCAGAAGGGCTCTCTGTGAGGGTCTCAAAGAACAAGCTGAGGGGTTGGCTGTGGGGCTGTGGTAGGGCACTTACCTAGACTACATGGGCCTAGATTTTATACTGGGCACCACAAACAATAACACAATGATGGAGGAGTTTCGGCCCATCACTGTCTAATGAGGCCAATTCCTTTCTCCATGGAGACTTTTTCCTCTGGGAGGGAAGGCTTTAATTGCACAGAGTTCCAGGCCCCTCCCTCCTCTAGAAACCTTGCCCAAGCAGCATGGCCAGCCTTGCGTCTTGAGCAGGGGAATGGAGTGGACATTCCGCTTAGACACTATGAGATTGTCTACAAACCTCCCCAGTAATTGGCAACTGCCTAATCACTTTCTATAATTAGGATAGCCTGGAGGCTCAGAGCTCTGTTCCCAAGGTTTAGGACTCAGGAGGTTTAGAAGGCAGCTAACTCCAAGGAACGATGGGAATCCAAGACCCCTGGGAACATGTCCTTTCAAAGCATGTTCCTAGTTCCTGACAAGTGCCACTTTCATTATTAATAGCGACTTTTTTTTTCCTGGTAAATACTGTTTTATGTAAAACAAATGTGCAATTCCCAACTGTACAACCAGTGAGTTTTCATGAGTGGAACACATCTGTTGTCCCATCCCAGAAGTCCCCTTGCAGCCTCTCCCAGCCACTGTTCCCTTCCCAAGGGTAAACATTGTCCTGACATTGAACATGGTAGGTGGGGCTGGCAAGATAGCTCAAACCTGAGGACCTAAGATAAATCCTCTGTACCCACTAGAAAACCCGGGTGTGGGGGTACATGCTTATAATCCCAGGGCTCAGAAGACAAACAGGCAGATCCCTGGGGATAGATGGTCAAATAGCCTAGCCTAATTTACCAGCCTCAGGTCCTAGTGAGAGACCCTGTATCAAAAACCAAGATGGACTCCTGAGGAATGACACTACAGGTTGACATTTGGACCTTGATGAGCATACACACACATGTGCACTCACATACACTCACGCATACAAACAGACAATTGTTTGGGTCTTTGTTCTGGATTCTCAGGCTCAAAGGCACCTGTGGCTTGGCAAGTTACCTGAGTGCTGGGAAGGAGGACAGGGTCCCACAGTTGCTTGGGCTTTTCTGCAGGGGTGTCAATAATGTCTGTCAGGCACATTTGCAGGCCCGGGGTTGACAGGTAATTTGATCTTGTAAGAGAAGCCAAAGCCTGAATTTTTATGGGAAATCTTAGGTTCTTGTGTGTAGCCAATGAGGACACATTGGCTTGCTGTGGTGCTAACTTCATCCAAGCCAAATCAAACATGTTTCTAGCCTGATTTGGGCTTCAGGTTGCCAGCCTGGGGGATCCAGAGGGTCCCAGGCCCATCAGGGAAACAGATCTAAAGATAAACATTGCCATTTAGAGTAAGTCACTAATACTGGGGGTCAGAGAGGGACAATCAATTGTCAGGGCACCAGAAGTGGAGGCTGACAGCACCACAAAGGACACACAGGATGAAACAGCAAGGCCATTGCAGGCAGTGGGGACAGCTTGACAAATGTGCAGTCAGGGACCATGAAGGAGTTTGGTGTTGTCATAGCGGTGGAGATGTGAGCAGAGCCAGGAGTGTTTGAACCTGCCCTTCAGGGAGAGCTGAGGTGGGATGGGGCTGGTTCCTCAAGCAGCAGGTGCAGAAGTGGGCAGTCAGATGACAGCTGGGGACAGGAGGCTTTTGGCAGGCCTTGGCTATGGCATAAGGCTGAACCCTGCACCAACCCCTGTCCGTGGCCAAAGTCACTGCAACTATGATTGTTACCTTTTCCTCTTTGAGAAGCAGAGTTTCACTGTGTAGCCCAGGCTGCCCTGGAACTAACTCATAATCCTCCTGCCTCAGCCTCTGAGGTTGCAGGGTGTGTCACCCTGCCTGGCTGCTGCACTGCCATTATGTGGTATGAAAAATATCCATTGTATCCAAGGGCTTGCTTATGCATTGGGAGGCATTTCAGGAAGGCAGACCAGACTGGAAAGAGAGCTCCTCCTACTTGTCTCTACCCTCCCTCTGGTGGCAGACCCACTAAGCACAAATCAGTTCTAACTTGAATTTTCCCTACAAACCCCTCACCTTGCAGAATCCCCTGTCAAACATCGTTATTCTGTGCTCCATTCTGCTGGGATTGAACAAGCCATGCTAGGTCTACTTGTCAAACCATCCCAGAAGGAACTGGTTGCAACTTAGTGGTATTGCAGTTGCCTAACAGACATGACTCTGGGTCCCCCCCCCCCATGCATTACTAAAAGCAAGCAAGCAAAAAGAAGCCCAGAGCTTCCTTGGCTTTTGCCCCATCCTGTCTGAGCCCCTGGTATCACTTACTTACCCCCAGATGATCTCCCTGCCCCTACGTTTGCTCACTTTGCAGCTGGAGTGGTCTTGTGCTGATCATTTGGTCCAGACCCTCTGCAAGACTCCATGTGACTCTGCGAATGACCACATAGACCTCTGTGATCTGTCCCCCTTTCCTTTCTGACCTTTGTTCAGGTTATGCTCCCTCTCCCCCCCCCCAGCCATGCAGACTCCTGCCTCAGGCTTCTGCACTGTCATTCATTCCCTTGCTAGAAACTTGCTTTTCCTGGCAGAGAGCCTCCTGGTGCCTCCTTTACCTCCTTCCAGGCTTTGCTCTAATGCCTCCTTCCTATGAGACCTTTCTCCAAGCTCCACCCACATCTTACCCCCCCCCCCCGCTTCACCCCTGTGCAGTCTGCTCTGGTCTTATTAATGTCACTCATGTTCTCTCTTCTTCCCTGAGCTGAGCAGGCCATGGCTGCTACGTGAGCAAGAAGTTGGGTGTCTTAGACAGGATGTTTGTGCTTCCTCTCTAGGTGTCACTTAAGAGAGAAGTCCCAGATAATTTTCTCTCTGGGCTCCCCTTGGCTCTGAGCTCCCCAGGACTGGGTTCACAGCTTGAAAGGAACATGTCCTGCCACATGACCACTAACTGAGTCTCAAGGCCAAAGAAATATCTTGCTAGTGCACATCCCAGGCCAGGATTTAATTGTGGATAGGCTCAGATGTCACATTCTACATGCCTGTTGAGTATAGCTGGTTTCTTCTGGCCATTTGTCCACATTAGTCAATACTGGAATGCACCATTGCAACCCAGAAGTTCTCCCTCTCAAAATAGTTGGAAACTCCTTGCTTGGAGCTAGGAAGAGGCTCTGAGAAGCAAGTGCAGGGCTCCCCTTGCTATCCTCACACCAATCTCTATCAGAGATATTGCCCACAATGCTTTAGTGTCTCCTGCCCCCAGGCAGAGTGGCAGCAGCTGGCAGTGAGTGGGGTTCACCCACAGAAGTAAGGCAATTCGTAATCTGCTAACCTTGAATTCTGCAAAGCCTGCCACTAGGCAATCTGGGGGTGGCTGGAGTCATTCTTGGCTTGGGCAGAATTCAAATTAGCTCCTGCAATCAATGTGCAATTAATGGTTGCACACCCTGGGCATCTAGGCACTGTGCCCCATGCAGTGGGAAGAGTGAAGGGTGTAACTTATCATGGAGCAGAGGTGGAGATGGGGGTGCTCATAGATGAGCAATCATGGTTTGCTAAAGAGATGCTAAAAAGGTCTGAGTTTCGTCAACTACTTGGCCCAGATATTGCTAACCGTGTCAGCATTTACTAAGTGCCTACTGTGTGCCCGATGCCCATCCCACTCTGGCTCTGGGGAACATTCTTCCCTTGTTATATATGCCAGACATTGAGGGGCAGAGAGAACAAGTGTCTTGTTCAAAGTCACACAGCTGGTCAAGTCCTAGATTTACCTGACTTCAAAATCAGGATGCTTGACCAACCCTGCGCAGCCATCTTTAAGCACTGAACGTTCATTCTTAGGACCTTCAGGGTACCCCATCCTGCTGACCACTACTTGCCATCCTTTTTATGGCCTCTTGGGTCATCCTGTTTGTTCTGGATCTCTGGTGTAGACAGCCTGGGTGGAGAAGGCCTGTTTGTCGCATCCTAACTAGCCTGGATGCCCACAGGTTGCCACTTTGTAAGCTTTCTGCCCTCCTGGGTGGCTATAGGGAGCCTGTGGATGGGGATTGGACTCAGACATCAAAGGTGACCAGGGACAAGCCTTTCAAAAGCTGTGGCCCTGCATCCCCAGCACCTCTCAAATTCTGGATGGGTCTTCTATCCTTTGCTGAGGTTCCTTACAACCTGAATACTCTGCCCCCCACCCCGTGTTATCCCTTTGGGGACCCACAGACCCTGCCCTGTCGCTCAGCTGATGGGGCTACGGACCCGGGGTGAGAGGTCTTCTCCCGCCTTGAGTGTTTGCACCACATTCCCATGGGCCCCTCTGGGAGCGCTTTAGCTTGGGATCTCTCACTTGTCCCTCTCCACTCCTGCGCGGCTCTGTCCCCCGCCCGCGCCCAGCGTGGCGCGCCCCCTCTCCAAGCGCGGGCGGGCGCTGAACAGTGTCGCCGACCGCCTGCAGGTGTCTCCCCACGGAGGGGCGCGCGTCCCTGCGCCGTGGCCGCTGCCAGGCGCCAGCGGCTGCTCGCCGAGGCGCACTCGCGCTCTGGGCTCCTGGCACGCTGGTCCGCTCCACTCCGCAGCCCCGACCGCTCTGCGTCCCCTTCGTCCCGCGTCTCCGCCAGGGGCCATGGGCCCGCGCCGCGAGCGCCATCGCCGACCGCAGGCACCCGAGCCCCGGGGCGGGCGCTGACGAGGGGGCCGCTGCCAACTTCGCACAGAGCTGCGGGCGGCGCGGGAGGCATGAAGACGAGCCGCCGCGGCCGAGCGCTCCTGGCCGTGGCCTTGAACCTGCTGGCGCTGCTTTTCGCCACTACCGCCTTCCTCACCACGCACTGGTGCCAGGGCACGCAGCGGGTGCCCAAGCCGGGCTGCGGCCAGGGCGGCGGCGCCAACTGCCCCAACTCGGGCGCCAACGCCACGGCCAACGGCACAGCTGCCCCCGCCGCCGCCGCCTCGAGCCCGACCGGCGCGCCCTACAGCTGGGAGGCGGGCGACGAGCGCTTCCAGCTGCGCCGTTTCCACACCGGTATCTGGTACTCCTGTGAGGAGCAGCTCGGTGGTCCGGGTGAGTACTGGGGCTCCCCCGGGACGCGCGCCCGCAGGTCCCGGGCCGGGAGGTGGCGCGTCCGGGTCCTCCGCGCACACCCTGGCTGCAGGTCCCAGGGAGCGCTGTCCCTCCCCCGGCCTGAAGTAATTTCCCCGCGTGCCCCTCCTCCTTACTCTCATCCGCCCATCGCGGCCCTAGAGGTGACAGTGGGGATCGGGGACCTTTGCTGTGAGCGACCCCTCCCACCGCAGATCCACGGATCCAGGAACCCAAGGGTTCTGCTACTTCTATCTCCAAGCCATACTGAACCTCCAGGACAAGGCTGGGGAAAACAGAGAGTAGAGAGAGCCTAATGGGCACCCCTATTGCCACAAGCTAGGGAGTCCTCAATATCCTGGAGCTCTCCTGGGAGTGGATGCCATAGGAGGGAAGGGAGGCAGGCGGGAAAATAGGGACAGCTCTGGGCACTGGGGTTGGGAATCCAGGGAGTCTTAGCTCAATACAAGGCTCCTTCAGAACTGGGGAGGGGGCTGACTTCTCAGAAAGTAACCCTAACTCCAGGCAGCCAGGACTGAAGTAAATACCCCAAAGCGGGCAGCAAGGCTAGAGTGTTCAGGGAACCTCTGCCTGACAAGGGACTGTGCCATATGGTGGGTGGTACTGGCTATTCACTCAACCCTCAGCTTGTCTGCAGTAAGCTACTGCTCTGCCAGGACCCCCTTTTACATAGCCTTTTCTCCACATTTGATATAGCCTGAACAATTTCCCGGACCTGTCTTTAGTTACTAGCATATTGTCCCCTTTCCCCTTAAGGTGTCACTCTTGTTAGGACTTTGCTGTGTCGTCTACTCCCTCCCCCTTTCTGAGTATCGACAATAAATATTTGCAGTGTGATATGCAAAACAGCAGTATTGGATGGGATCTCAGGTTGAAGGGGTTAGAGGTATCCCATCTGCCTGCTGAGCTTGGGGGAGGTGGGGGTGGGCACATGACTTCGAGCATGCTGCCTAGATTTTTGAACAGGACTTGGGGTTTCAATTTGGTGGTTTTTTGTTTTGTTTTTGTTTTTTTTTTTTTTTTTTTTGCTGCTTTTTGTTTGTTTGTTTTTAGAAAGAGAAAACCAAAAATTAACCTGAAAGCCTCTTAGTTAAAACTTGTTTCCATAAGCCCAGTCCTCCCACACAGCAGCCATGGAACACCCTTCAAAGCTTAGGTCTCTGTAGACAGTCACACATGACAGCCCAAAGAATGAGAAGGAAATGGCCATGGGTCCCCCTCCAACTGTAGGCAGCTCTTCCTGAGATCTGGGTGGCCCTGCCCTAGGGACAGGCCACCTTGCAATACCTGGATGGGCTTTGTCCCTGGCAGCCTGATCCACCCTGTCCCTGCCTCTGTAGTGTGTCTGGGCTCTCAGTGGATGGTCTGATGGCTCCCCTGAAGGCTGTGGCCCAAAGCTCTGTAGCTCATTCCTTGCTCTATGCCTGACTGCTATGTCTTAAAAACTATTAACAGAACCTCATTTAAAGCCCCTGTGCATTTTGAGCACCAGGGCCTGCTAGAGTTGTCACCTGTGGAATCTTGTTACATACTATGCTCTGGGCTAAGCAGTCACTTGTGGGAGACCCATTTTTTCAGATGAGGAACATGAGGCTGGGGGCGGGGTGTTGATGAGGGAGCTTGAAATGTCTTCTTGGTGGCTAGAGACTAACAAGGGAAATGATGGAGAAGGGGGGTTGTACAGTTGGGGACCTGAGGTGGGTACACTTATGGCCAGTATGAGACCTTCACCCCCAACCTCCATTAATCAAAATGTTCATGGGTGATCTACTGGGTGGATGAAAACCAGCTACCTCTTTCCCTGTTGGCTACAGCTTGCTCCTCCCAGAACATCACAGTTTTCTTCCCCTGAGCTTGGCAAATAGTTGCTGGTGAGAAATTTGGGAGGACAAAGGCCATCCATATGGGTGTCCCCGGACTGCCGCACACAGACCCCAGATCTCCCCTTTATCACTGAGCTCCAAAGGGTGTCAAGAAGTACCTGGCCTCAAAGTTTTGTTGCCATGACAACCTGTCTTCTGGGTTCTGTGATGATTTTATTTTTCTTTTCCTCCAAGAGGGAAAAACATCCCAACAAGGCCCGAGCAAATCCTGCCCTACTCTCTCTCACTGCCGCCGCTGCTGCAGCTAGGGAAGGTCTGGCTCCCCATCCATGCGGCTGGGTGCCCTCTGGTGGGGCTCCAGCTTGGGGATCCACACTGGCTCACTGGGTGCTTAGCAGGCTCCCCTTGCTCCCCCGCACTGCTGCTCATATCTCTCTACCCCTGGGCACCTGTGTGGGACATCTCCGGAGACCCCTTTCCCACAGATGACACTACAGCCTATCCTGAACAGACACACAGTCAACAGCCCCAGCACCAAGAGACCTCTTCTCCTCCTTCCAAGAGAAGGCACAGACGCCCTTGTGCTCAGCTGGAGGAGAGCAGTCCTGAATAGTCTCCAGTCTCTTGTTGCAAATTAGATTTCTTACTGGATTTGATATTTAGAAGAGTTGGGAGGACCGTGGGGGTGGGGTAAGGTTCAGGCTTGGAGCCTATGCTGACTGTTGCTTATGTGATTTGTGGGCCTCTGCCCTGTGTGTGTGTGTGTGTGTGTGTGTGTGTGTGTGTGTGCGCACACACACACACACACACACACACACACACACACGTGTGACCTAAGGTCAGGAGTATCTCAGGAAACTCAAGGTCATGGCACCAGGGACCTGCTGGGCTGACTGAGTGGCTCTGGAGAGAGAAAAGGGATTAGGCCCTGGATGGGGGTGGGGGTGTAGGAGGTGTGGTCTGAGAGTGACACATGAACTTGCAGGCAGCCCCAAAGTGAAAGCAGAGACCCTGGTTTATTGTCTGACTCTAGACTCACTCTGCCCAGTGTGGGGTGGTGGATGGATGGATCTTCCTCTTGGTACCATGTGGCTTTGGCCAGAACCTCTGCTTGCTGCCTGCAGATTGGGAGAGCAGCAGCCCACCCCACTCCACATATTGGGGTCCAGTGACAGCATGGGGGCAGAGCAGTTCATGCACCAGCCTTGCTTCTGCTTCTCTGACCTGAGCCACTGCATCTAAATTCATAGACATCGCCTATCCCTCAGATACTTCCCACGGTCCCAGGCACCCAGAGTCACCAAGGTCCTGGACTATTACACTGCATCTCAGAATGCCTCTCTTGCAGCCCCTGGGTCTACACTTCAGACACGCTGACTTTTACCGCAGCAGGCTCCTCCTGGCTCTATAGCCTTTGCACAGGAGTGCTTTTTTCCCCACATCCACCCAAGACCACTTCCCAAGACCCTACCTTACATTTCAGCTTTACATCCTCATTAGTCAACAGCTCTTGCTCATTCTGTGTCATGTGAACTTGGAGGCTTTGAAGCCTAGCATTCTTTTTGAAAGATGTATTTATTTTTATTTTATGTATGTGGTACCTACTGAGGCCAGAGGAGGGTATCAGGTCCCCTGGAACTGGAGTTACAGATGGTTGTGAGTACTGAGGATTGAACCCATGTCCTTGGGAAGAGCGATCGGTGCTCTTAACCACTGAGTTATCTCTCAGCGCTGCATCTGGAGTTGGTTCTTATCTGTGTTTTCTGTTACCTTTTATGGTGCTTGGGATGGAGCACAAGGTAGGTGTTCAACAGAACTTTGTGGAATGTGTTTTAGTTGATGTAACTGACTCTTGGGATCAGTTCTTCCAGGCCCAAGTTACTTCTTGCAGGAGAGACCCACACTTTCCAGTGCAGAGTTACCACACATTCCCTGGAAGAGGCATGAGTCAGGACCCTTTGGATGTCCCCTACCCCCACCCCTGGGAGGTTGCTACTGCCCAAGAGTGTGTGGGTGTCATGATGTCATGATAGACATGCTTCTTGCTGGGACTGTGTGAGGAGTAGATTTGGGCCTTGAAAGACACATAGCCCTCAACAAGTGTTAGCTCATTTCATCCTCACAGCAGCAGGTGCTATGGTCATTCCTTCTTCAGCAGAGGCACCAAGAAGCACAGTGACTTCCCAAGGCCACATATCTAACAAGTGGCCCAACTGGGATGTGAACTCAAGCAGAAGGTCCAGGGATGCCTCCCACCTGCGAACCCCCCCCCCACTGTTGTATTCCTTCAACCCCAACCTCCCATTCACTCAGCCTCCCCAGCCTCACTGGGGAGAACACTATACTGGGTTTGAGCCCAGTCTCTGCTGCCAGCTTGCTAAGTGGCCTTGGAAGTCTTACCCCATTCCTGTGTCTCTTGCCTTTTCTTTGCTTGGGTGTGGTGCAGGGGCCAGAGCACTGTTCTCAAGGCTGCAGGCGTTAGAGTCGGTCTCAGTTCTAGTCCCTATCTTACCTCTTGCCTGCTGTGTGATCTTAGGTGGGTGTTTGTTTTCTCTGAGTCTCAGCTTTCTTGGCTAGATCAGGAGGACTGTCCTTGGCTTTGTGATAGAATCACCTGGTTTAACCAGTGGTTTGGGATCTGGGCTGAATGTGTTGGGGACCTAGTATCATCTCAGGACACCTTTGGTTGTAAGAAGCCAGACTGCTCTCTGCTGCTGTTCCCTTTTCCTCCCTTGATCACTTCATTCCCGGAAAGTCTAGGGAGCCCGAGGAGCCAAAGGGGCTGGTGTTGCTGTTTACTAGATTTGAGGGTGCTGTACCTCTGGTCTCTACGATGCCTGATGCCTATGGAACATGGTGGGGAACCACACTGATGCCAGGTGACAGAGCAGATGTGAAGGAGGACACCATTACTGTTCTGAGGGGAGCCTCAGAACCTGGGTGTTCTTGTCTGGCCAGCCCCAGGACCTCCTGCAGTCCCAGTGCATGCTCTTGATATTTTGAGACAGGGTTTCCTCCCTGTAATAGCCCTGGCTGTCTTGGAACTAGCTCTGGAGACCAGGCTGGCCTTGAACTCACAGAGATCCGCCTGCCTCTGTCTCCTAGAGGAATTAAAGGTGTGTGCCACCATTGCCCGGC